TAATAAATCTGCAAAAATGTCAAATTCTGTGTTTTTCTGTCAATATGGGGTGCTGTGTGTACATTAATGAGGAAAAAAATGAACTTAAATGATTTTAGCATATGGCTGCAATATAACAAAGAGTGAAAAATTTAAGGGGGTCTGAATACTTTCCGTACCCACTGTAACTCGGTCAGGATTACCTTGTAATGTTATGTGTGTCAAGTAGGTAACACTGAATGTAATGCGATAGAGGCTGGAACATTAGTACTGTAATTAGTAACTGTAATTTGTACCATAACAATGTTACTGGGGAAAAAAACATTCCTTTGTATGAAAACCATGTGCTCTATGGGCGTGTTAATATTACTGCTGAGCTGCCTGGCTGTATTAACAACATACTGCATGATGTAGTTTTACAGACAGGGCAGGAGGGGCACGGAGGAGCAGAGGAAGAGGAGGAGGGGTCACGATTGGTTGACAGTTTGAGGGTCAAAGTTAGCTAGAGCTTTAAAATTTTGGGCGGCAGATAAACTGAAATTACAGTAATTATTATTACTTTTGTGGTTCTAGTTCTTGCTCTTTGGTCTTAATCCTACCGTTGCCACCAGATCTGGAATCTTTAGCACATAGGAGTTCTCACTATGAAATACAAGGCCATCGCTCTATTCATCTGTGTTTCGCTAAGCGCTGGCAGGCTCTCGAAGAACAACTCAAAAAGAGGCCTTTTCAAATGAAGAAGAGGGTGACGAGGTGCCAGAGGAAAGAGCAGCAGCAGCAGCAGCAGTGTGACAAGACAAACACTCAGCAATACTGAGACTTACATAACAGGACTGTGAAAGGACTTTTTGAAAATGGCTTGTCATCTGATTCCAGCTTGTCAGGTATCATTAAATATGATTAAAAAGGTGAAAAGGTATGAGAAACATTATGGAAGATTATCTGGGCAGTACTGACTTAGTAACAACAGTACAGTACAGTTCTGTATCCAGAAATACACTGAGTTTGTCGAGCCAAGCTAATAAATTAGTTTTGTGGTATTTACACACAGACACACACACCTGCACACCAAAATACCAGTGTGTGCACAGCCAAAAGAAAATATAAATGCATTAGCATACAAATATAGGCTTTTATTTAAGTGTGAAGAAAACAAATTTAGTAAGCCTGCATACTGTATTTAAAGTACGGTCCTGTATTATACAGTACGCTCCATCTCGCTTATCAAGAAGCCACAGACCTTTACTTGTTCAGTTGAGAACTTAGAAGGATAAACAGAATATATGAGCTGTGTGATTTGAGAAATGTGGAAAATGAGTCTTATTTTCTTGTGTATTTTACAGCCTAGGGTGATTTAAAAAGTAATTTCCCTGTCAACACCCCAGATCTGATGCAACATATTTGCAAGAACAGTGACAATGTGGTATCCTGTAATATGCTCATGAAAAAAAGTGCAGCAGACGCACAAAACTTCCAAACAGCAACAAGATTACAAACAGCCAATAATTACAACCAGCTAATTGTGCTCACACAATTGACTAGAGGAGAACTAATGAACAGATAATCACATGCACACACAATTATGCATCCCCTGCGACTCTTACACACACACACACAGACACACAGACACACACCTCCCATCCCTTCTGTGCCCTGTTAAAGTGCCTATTCAGATGATTTAGCCCTCTACTCAGGAGCCTGCTCCAGATACCCAGCAGGTCTAAAGGACACACATTGGAATAAAATCAGAGCAGCACTTAGAGGACTGAAAATGCACCACAAGACACTTGCTAGTGTTTATAATGTACCTGATAAAGCTAACGACATAATTATTTCTGGACCACGAGCATGAGCCCTGCACAGTGTCTGTTCATCCTCCCACACTGATGATGCTTTCACTGATGATCACATCTAATTTCATGCATGTGACAAAACTGCTGTCTGGAAGCAATAACATCAGAGCGCTATGGCTGTTTGTCTCTGAATAATGCAGCATGATGTGTATAAACAAGTAATGTGTGCTTGAGACAGAGAGCAAATGGCACAGGAAATCTTATGAAACTTGAATTTTGATTTTGTCTTTTTTGCACTGCATGTCTGCTCACATGCAGATATCTTGTTTGATGAGAATTTGATTTTGTCAGAGAGAAGAAGATGTGTGGCTTCCACAAACGTTGGCTGTCACAGTGGAGGCTCATTTTATAAATATCTGTGAAACAAAGAGAACAGGAGTCTCTTCCCCTCTTGCATCACTGTTCATTTTGTTAATTGATTCATTTCTGGCTTTGTTTTTATCTCCAAACTCAGAACTGCAGAGGCCAGGGAACACTACCTGCAAGTACTTCTGGGTTGACTTACACAAATGTGTTAAAGGTGATTTACATTTTCAATGTAAACATTACCTTTCCTTTCCCAGGATTAACTGATTGTTTATGAGTCACTACAAACAGACAGAATAAAGGCATCATCATCAGAGCGTAGGTGTTGTGGCAGGCACCCACACACTCCTGCCAGTCCACCTTTCTGCCTCAGCATTGATTCGACCTGGTTTTCCCAGCACAGGTGTCTAAGTCTTAAAATAAACTGGGAGACAAAACGTAAATCAAGTTCAATTGTGAATCCAAAAGTAATACAGTCACATGCAAGTCTGCTGCTCACAGCTCCTAAAAAGGCAGCATCAGATGTGGGTGTGGTTAAACCCAGGGTACCAGAGTAAACCTGTACACCACTGCAGCCCCAGAGGTCAGCAAGAACAAGACTGTTTGGGATCGTTAAGTTACTCTTTAAAGGTTGTGGTTCGATATTATTTTCAGAACAGTGACTAAACACATGTGATTAAGTTTCACATTTGACACTGTCTTGTTTTTTACTTTACATCCAACTTTTGTCCTTGTATTACTGCACTTAATGTTTAAAAACAAGATATTAGTTTATTTTAATCTCATTATATATATTAGCATTCATGAACATTGTATAAACAATTAAAGGCTTTTAATTATAAACAAATACAAGGATATTTTACATGTATTTGTACATGTTTGTGTCCAGCTGTAACAGCTGTAATGTAGCAGCCATAACTGGTGCATAAACAGATAATAAATACTTAGTTATATAATAAAAATAGCTGATTACAGTAATACTCTCCCACTGAATGTTTTGTGCATGTGTATAAACAGTGAATGCTTCATAACACAGTGTAATGCTTTTCTTTGGTGTAATCGTATATTGTAAGTATTTATTTATCAGTTATGAGTGTTTCATAAGAGGAGGAGCAGAGTTAAGATAAACTGGGAGACAAAAATTCATGTTACAAAGCAGTGTTATAATGAGGTATAAACCAACAATGAAGTGTAAAAACCAAACTAAAAGTGTAAAAAAAAATGTTTCCATACCTTAAAAAGACAAAGCGCCTTGTATTTTGTTTTTCTTACAAATCATGTACAGCATATTCTTCTCATTGTCCTACTTAGTATATTGGAGGTCAAACAACCAAAATACAGTGATGTAAGTGCCAAAATTCAGTATCTAAACCACACTGTGATATAGCCTTTTTGCAGTATACATATAGAATAGTCTACTTTTGTAAAAGAGAGGCTAAATCACACAAAAGCAAGAGAGTGTGCAAGCAAATTGTGTGTGTCAGTAAAGTGTATGAAGGTAAATGTGTGTGTGCAAAAGAGAAACACAGTGATTTGTCACAAATGCAAAGGTTAAGGACTGGGAGGATGCCGAGCGAACCAGAGGTGCATTTTTTTATGGCAGGAGTGTGTTGGGAGTGAAGTGTGGCACCCCATCCCAGTGAGTGGTCAAACTGTGTGTGCATGTGTTACTTACATTGTGGGGACCGGAATCTGTTAACCCACTCATATTGTGGTAACTTGGTCTTCCTCTGGTTTCACAAATAATATTTGGTTATCGACAGAGTAAGGGACATTTTGGCTGGTCATCACTTTCTGAAACAGGTTTTTGACTTTTTTGGCTTTAGGGTTAGGTTAAGGTATGGGTTGTGGTTAGGCATTTAGTTCTGATGGTTAAGGTTAGGGCAAGGGGCTAGGGAATGCATTATGTCAGTGAGTGTCCTCACAAAGATAGAAGTAATACAAGTATGTGTGTGTGTGTGTGTGTGTGTGTGTGTGTCTGTGTGTGTGTGTGTATACTGTGGTCTTTCAAAAGCATGTTTAATAAATGCGCACATACAGTACAGTACATGTTGGATGTCAGCACTGACACACACTTATAGTCCCAGCACACACGTCATTTCCATGGATCTATATCTGAGAGCACCACTGTCATCCCTCAGCAAGCCAGTCATGCGTTTCTCATGGCCACTGTTCATTGCTATCTGGTTATGGACTGGATAAAATCAATAGACATCAAATGCTCATGCAATGTTCTACTTTTCCCATTGATGCACAATGTTCATAAACAGCTCAGGTCAACACTGAGCTTGGAAATGACAGATTAAGAATGACGTTTTACCTGTGTGTGTGTGTGTGTGTGTGTGTGTGTGTGTGTGTGTGTGTGCGGTTAGCATTTTCTACTTCCCTGAAATTAAATGGAAAGGTCAGCTTGGTTCAAACACAGACACACAGAGCTTTGCTTTAAGAGACAAACAATAACATTGCTTCTAGGTCAGTTTAGCTCCAGCAATCTCAATCAATCCATACATAAGTGGCTGTGATTTTGTGTAGATTTCTCACATATTAATTGATCAGACCATGATTTGTATTGGTCTCATATTTGTTTTGTTAGGCGACTAGACGGAAATGCCTCTATCAGCCTGAAAACACCGCCAGCCTTTCTACAAAAGACTACGCAACGTCTCACAGCAATACCGGGTAAAACCTGTACAACAGAGCTCCAAGCAGAACAGTAGGATTTTACCCCCTATGCCTCTGCAACCCCTATGGTTCGTGTAATTAGGCAGTAAAATAGGCTGTCACCCTGAAAGGACAGGTTGTGAGCTGCTGCGCTAGAAATCATGGAAACATCCCTTTAATTCCACATGAACATAAACTTACCAGCTGTGACTCGAGAGACACCGAGACAGCTGAGGACGAGCAGGAAAAACCCCTCCATTTTTCCAACGCTCGGACGACGTGAGGTTCCATTTACTCTGGCCGGTGGTGCCGTGTTAACCGCCGAACTGCTGTGCTTTGTTGTGCTGCTCGGCA